TGAATTTCCATCAGAGCACACCATGGGCCAAACCAATCCAAGATTTTCTGTATATGTCTGTGTATTTTAGTTACTCTTCTATTGCTGTGAAGAGACACTATGATCAAGGAAACTTTTATAAGAAAACATTTAATTGGAGGCTTGCTTAGTTTCAGAGAGTTAGTCTATGATCATTATGGTGGAAGCTTGGTGGCTGACAGACAAGCATGGTGCTGAGTGAGCTTAAAACCCGAGTGACACATCTCTTCCTAATCTTCCCAAACAGTTCTACTAACTGAGGACCAAACATTCAAATATGTGAGTCTATGGGGGCCATTCTCATTCAAACCACCACGATGTGTGTCATTTCTTCATTCCCTGTCACCCCAGTTAGGCCAGACCCTAAGCTACACATATAGTGCCATGCTCACTCAATGGTAACCAATACAGAAGACATCTGCCACCTTCAGAAGGTGCAGTGATGTCACCTGAACCAGTTCTGCAGTGGGTGCCAGGAGTCTGTTGCATTAGTTGTTGTATTGGTTATTTTTGTCATTGCTGTGACAAAAGCAACTTAGGGAAGGAATGGTTTGTTTTGGCTCTTAGTTCAAGGGCATCACCTGTGGCAGTGAGGAAGTCATGGCACCAGGAACATTAAGTCCTTGTTCACCTGCATCTGAAGTCAGAAATGGATGAGTAGTTGTACTCAGCTCACTTTTGGTTTGTATTTAGAAGGGAACATCAGCCACTGGAATGGTGTTTAGGGTGGGTCCTTTTACCTCAGATAAACTCACAGCGTGCAAGTCCCGAGGCATCTCTCACCAACGTCAGATACCAGTTGCAAGCTTCAAGTTGTTTTGATCAAGTGTCTATAAACTGGATGTTCTAGTTTTATTTCTGTTACTGTGACAAATACTCTGACCAAAAGCAACATATAAAAGAAAGGGTTTGTTTGGCTTATAAGTTCAGGTTACAGTTGTGAATCACATCATATCCACAATCAAAAGCAGAGAGAACGAGTGCACCTGTCCTTGCTGCCTCTGCCTCTGGCTCTCATCTAGCTTTCTCCTGTGTTACACAGCTCAGGAACTGCTGCCTAGGGAATGGTGCCTCCCACAGTGGATGGGCCCTCATTCATCAATTAACCATCAACTCAATTCCCAGAGACAGACTCACAAGCCAACCTGTTAGAGACAATTTCTCAAGTAAGGATCACTTCTCAGATAATTCCAAATTGTGGCAAGCTGACAATGAAAATTACCTGGCACAGGGGACGTATATGTGTGTGCTTCTGTGGCATTTAAACTGAAGCTAGGTGTGGTGGTGTACACCTGTAATTCCAACACTTGGGAGGCAAAAGTAGAAAGATTAGGAGTTCTGGGGTAGCCTCTGCTATATAGTGAGCTTGAGGTCAGCTTCAGCAACATAAGACTATTTCTTAAAATAAAATAATAAAATAATAAAAGCAAAACAAAAATCAAATAAGTGTGTTTGAAAGGACTTGAAAGTATATTTTTTCCTGTGTGTCACAGCTAATAGAGGATGCCTTCAAGAACCAAGGATGAAGGGACACTTGAAGGGAAACTGTTACTACAGATATGTTCAGATAGGAGTCATCAGGGTCTTAGAAATCATAAAGCAGGAACCACGGACAAAATACAAACCAGTCATGGTGGCACACTTTGTAATCCCAGCACTTGGGAGTGTTAGGCAGGAGAATTGCTCCAAGTTCAAGGGCTGCATAAGTAAGTCCAAAGCTATTCTTGGCTATGTGGTGAAAACCTATTTCACAAAAAAGAATAGAAAGTATACATCGCAGTATCCTATGTTCCTGACCCGATCATCTCTTGGTCCCAGAACAACTGGATTCTGGGACTTTGCCAGAGAGATATCTCCACACTTTATAAAACCAGCACCCGGGGCTGGCAAGATGGCTCAGTCATTAAGTGCATAGTGGGTAAGGTAAGGAGCGGGCTCTTGCTACCCAAGGAAGTTCTCAAGCCGCCATATTTGAATGTATCTTTGCTGATCCCATAATGAAAACCTTGCCCTTACCCTTTGCAGAACTGACTCATTTCCTGAGTCCATAGAGATCATCACAACACATGGTAGCAGGACAGCTTTCCAGTTCTATGTCACATGACATTCAAAGCAAAAGCCTTGATTTTCTCCCCCAGAGACCAGTCACTTCTGTTTGGTCAGACCAGTTATTAATGGTCACTGATTAACTCAATGGTTAGCCTTCCTCCTGTTGCAGGGAAGAATTTCATCCTTGGAGCAGGTGGCTGGTTCTTTTGGAAACTGATAGAACCTATAACCCAACACACATCTGGTCTAGGGGCTTTCTAGAAATCAACTGTATTATTGTTGTTCAATATCTTTTAAACTTTATTTTTGAGACAAAGTGTTACTTTGTATCCCTGGCTGGCCTGGAACTCTGTGTAAACCAGGCTGACTGCAAAGTCATGGAGATCGGACTGCCTTTGCTTCCCAAGCGCTGCAGTGAAAGGCATGAGCCATTATGCCTGGCTATCTTTTTTTTAATCGGATTTATTTTAGGTGTTTGAATGTTTTGCCTGCTTATATGTGTGTATACCATGTGTATGCATGCTGCATCTCCTAGAAATTGGGTTATAAGTGAGTGTGACCTACTATGTGGATGCTGGACTCAGAAGTGCAAGAACAAGTGTTCTTAACCACTAAGCCATCTCTCTAGCCTCTCTCTCTTTTTTTAAAAATTTTTAGCCTCTCTTTTAAAATCTTAAAATTACACGTGTGTGTGTTTGTGCGTGTGTGGTGTGTGGCATGTGTATATATGCATATTGGGTGTGTATTGGTTGGGTGTGTATTGCATGTGTGTGTTACATGTGTGTGTGTGTGTGATGTGGTGTGGTGTGTGGCAAGTGTATATTGGATGTGTACATATGTGTGGTGTGTGTGTGTATGTTTGGTGTGTATGGAATTGTGTCTGACTGTGTGTCATGTGGTGTGTGTGTGTGCATATTGAGTGTGTATATGTGTGTGGTGTAGGTGTATGTTGGGTATGTGTGGAACGTGTGCATGTGTGTACATGCATGCACATATGGTGTGTGTGTGTACTAGGATACCTGTGTGGAAATCAGAGGACAAGCTGCAGGAGCCAGCTCTCTTTTCCACCACAAATACTTGAACTCAGGTTGTCAGGCTTGGCAGCAAATGCCTTTCCTGTAGAGCCTTCTCCCTGACCTCTCCTATTATTATTTGAGGCAGAGTTTTGCTTTGTAGCCGAGGCTGACTTTAAACATCATCCTAATCATCCTCCTGCCTCAATCTCTCAAGTGCTGACATAACAGGCATGTCACCACATTCATGATCACCTCCCATTTTAGGAAATTCTCTTTCTTTCGACTCAAAATTTACCCTCACGACAATGCTTTCTGGGTAAATTATGAGCCCATTTTAAAGACAAGAGAAAAGAGAGGTGGGTGTGGATGGCACATGCCTGTCAGACTCACACTCTGCAGGGTGAGGCTGGAAATGGTCAGGAACATTCCTGTGGCCATCTTTGAGTCTCTTGTCTCTCTCGCACTCCCACCTCTTCAACCCATTCACATCCAGCGAGGTTCTTCCTGCCTGGTATTTGGAAAGAGGGTCTCATGTAGCCCAGGATGGCCTCAAACTTCAAGGCCAACCATGGCCTTGAACTCCCCATCCTTCTCCTTCCACCTCCTGATGTGGGACAGCAGGATGTACCACCTCCTGACGTGGGACAGCAGGATGT